CGGGATGCTGCATTTGTGAGCAGCTACTAACTATGCAGTAACAACCAAGATTACACACTTGTTCTTCGTAGCCACCATGAGGAGCAACTGCAATCTGTTACTGTTTTACAATGACAGCATTACTTAAACCTAAAAATAACAGTTTCTGTGTAGAAAGAAAATAACCTGTAATTAAGAACACTGAAGTATTTTCAAAACATCACTAGTGATCTCCTGCAATTCAGGAATGGGTTTTTTTCATGGCCAACTGCATTTAGACTTTGTTTTCTTTCATCTACAGATCAAGAAACTTTTCCTACAAGATTAACTGTATTTTGAAAATCTCCTAATGATCAATTTGACAAATGCCAGTAGAAGGATTTGATTTTACAGAGAAAGGGGGGGAAATGACTCCTAAAGCTACAGAAATATTCACTGAACAAAGTTTTTATTCATCTCACATTCCTTGTCTGGAAACGGAAAAATAAATAAGCATTCTTCATGCAAAACAATACTCCATCTAGATTTCAGTGCATGAACATCAACTAATAAGCTGTGAAAAAAAACATTCCAACGTTTCAGATGGTAACACTTATGGACTTTGACACGCTGCTAATGGATCTTGACACAGGGAATATTCTAAATTCAGAAAGGTTTGCCTTAAGGTTATATTTAAGGATGCAGATAGCAAGCCAGCTAATTGTCCAATAATTTCCAAGGCCCATGCACCACCCTCCATCTCATGCTGGGCTTGTGCAGAGACCCAGCTCTGCTGCCTGGGCCCCCTTTCATCCTGGCACTTCCAGAGCTGTTTCTAATCCCCATGCAGCACAAGCCCTTTTAACACAAATATGTTTAATTCATTATTAATGCTGGGTGCTTGGTTGGAGAACCCAAGGTCCAAAGGTGAGTTAATGGCACCAGCTTTGAGAGCTTACAGTTAACAGTCAGCAGAGAGGAGTTTCCACTGCTAAAGCCTTAATTTGTGTAGTGTAGAGGGGAATTGTTTGTCAAATCAAGCAAAACTAAAATCAGGATTGCACAAAGGAAGAGAAAAAAAAGTTACCTCAGCAGCCACACTTGTATTTCTCAAATTTCTTTACATTTCTTAGCCCCTCTATGTTTTTATGTCAAAGATAATTATTGGTGCTCAAGTACATAAGCAACAACGTCCTGAGGAGTAAAACTGAAAGCATAGTACTTGCACATCATACTGCAGGGGCAGTCAGATGTGAACAGGTACCAGCCCAAAAGGGTGCTCAGTACTGGACAGGTGCTGCACTGAAAACAGGCAAGTGGGCAAGAAGGAGACCTCTCAGAAAGCCAAATATCTGGATTTTGTTAAGCAGCACTCAGGCAGCATGTGAAGGCCACTGGGAGACAGGATGTCCTGCAGCAGGAGTTACCAGCTGATGTGACATCACCTGAGAATCTCTTCTGACCTACTTCACCCTCTCCTAACTGTGCTGTGCGTTTCCACCATCCAAGAACATGCTGCCATTTAAAAGATACATACACTGGGCTGAAACTATTTCCTTAAGAGCCATAAAGAATCCCCCAAAACCTTAAGGAATCACAAGATACAGCTTCCTATTTTTTACAGTCTAAGAAATTAAAGAGAGTTTTTTTAATTCAACCTCAGAGGAAGAAAACACCACTAGGAAATATATATTGTTGTTTATTTTATCAGGGAAACTTGGCTAAAATGGCAATGAAATGAAGTAGTTCTGCTTTTGTTTAATTTGAAACACGTAGGATTGCATCTTATAAGGTGAAGACTTTCATTAGCTGGCAACCTCCAAAGCAAGTTGATCTCCTGGTGCTCCTGTCCAGTAATTCAATGCTCTTTTACCAGTGCTCAGAACGAAGGGCTGAAAGAAAAATGCTATATCTAAATATAAAATATAGCACAGTCTGAAACAATCATAACTACTGTCTCTAGGGAGGATTCTTATCAGCATAGTTGCATGTGAACTTTGGAAAAGGAATTAATCATCTCCAAGCTGAGCTGGACCCTGTGTGACCAAACTGAGTAACCTCTTTTGTAACCAGAGCCACTACATTCCTGCCCCATTTGGGCTGTGACACTCGATTAGCTGTTCTCTGATCCATGCAATCAAATTGTCCCTTTAATATAATAGTTTAAAGACTAAATAGCTGTGTGAATTTGTGTCATGACATTTAATTTAATCTAATCTAAGATAACTCACCTAGTATGTAATTAGCTCTGTGATTCCCTTTTTGCACCTAAATAGTAGGCATCATGTTACCCTATTTCTGGGAATTAAGGAGAACCTCATTTTCACAATCTCAAATATTTAACCTATTCTGTTCTTCTTGTTATGATTTCAAAATGGCAAAGAACTGAATTATTAGACTGAAAACTATATTATAAACTCTTAAGAGAACCTTTAGTATCCTAAAAGCACAACCATTTCATGTAAATCTCCCAGGTACGAAAAGCTGTGAATAGGCTCTTTCTTAGAAATAGTTTCAGCCAAGACCAATGGTAAGTATATAGGAGGCAGCTGAGGAAAAATCATGTGTGGAAAAATCTAATTACAACATATATAATAATGCATCTTAGCCGTGTTGTACTATACCAGATGATCACATGCTTTCCACATTTAAAATTATAGCATGAGTCTGCAGTCCATGCATTAAGACAATGGCTCAATGCATGTACTATTAAATCATTTCAAACTGTATTACCTATGTCAATATATTGCAAACTATACTATATTTACCAAATATGAGCATTTCTATACCTAATGCCAAATATTATGGTTAAAGTGACAAAGCAGTGTCACAGCACTGCCCGAGACCCTCTTGAAACAGACAGTGAATGATGTGTTGCTTCAGTGCAACACAGACTGAGCAAAAGTTTCTGGAGTAATAAGGCAGATCCGTATTGGTTTGCTCCATCTCAAGAGTAAAAGAAATATTGGGGATTTCTCCTACATTACCAAACCATGCAACAATTCGCTGGATCTTGTATAGGGCTGACTTTAACACCCCACTGCACCCTTGTTTTCTTTGCAGAACTAGAAATATCTTTCTGTTACAGTAAACAGCAAACTTTAAATTAAAGCCTTTCCATAGTAATTTTGGTGGAAATCTTTTGGAAACAGCAATTTTAGACAAACTGTGGCATTGAATTTTTTGTACAATACTTGTCCCATCAATGTTAATGGAAAATTTCCATTGATTTTACTGAGTAGATATGGGCTCCTCACATTTAATTTATCATGAGAATTGATTGCAGGTTGTTTACACAGCCCACACAAACACATAAAATCAAAATCTGGAAAGATCAAAGCTAACCCTATACCTAAAACCAAAACTCCTAAAACTGCCAGTTATTCTTTTAAATGAGACATAAGAACTCTCAGGGTTTTTTTCCACTCTCTTTTTTCCCAGGATGTTATTTTTATCTTGGCACTGTTCATTTTTGCCATTTAATTTACACCGTGTTTGGAGCAATTACTGAGAGAGAATTGTGTCAAGTCTCCTCCGCACTAACTTCTCTATTGGGTTTACAACTTTAGAATCATTTAATTGACATTTAAAATATTATAGAGAGAAAAATTTGGACTCTTAATATTTCCTCTACCAGGCTCAGTTCTACCACAACAGAATTTAAACATTTCTCAGTGTTTCATGTTCTTCAGTTCAAAATTACAGCCAGGCGACAAAGGCAAGGATTCCGTACTGGCATTTCACCAGTGCCAAAGGAAATGTTACCATCCCTGTTAACTATGTCAGTGCTCTTTAAAGACAGGAAACAGACTGGGGATTTCTATCGTAGTTGAAACACCCTGGAATACATGCTTTGCTCTCACCTGCCTTAGCCTGGGCACTTCCTCAGAGAGGACAGGCATGCTGGCAGGACGTGTTTCACCACAGACCGTATGAGAACGTGGACAAGCAGCACACATGAGAGCACTTACGCCATCAACAAACACGAGGAAATGCCAGACTGGGTTTTCAGCTGAAACCTGCAGCAGGTGCCTGACCCCAGGTCACTCACTGTTCTAACCGGGAGCTCGTTCTCTCTGTTTGCACCAGGCTCTCCTCTGGCTCGGTACGAGGATGTGGTATGATTAAGCATGTTGACATACACAGTCACCACGTAATTGTAGCTATTCAGCCTCTCCCTGCTGTTGTGTGATACAGCGTATATTTAGCACTACAGATACCCTCAGAAACGGAATACACAACCAACTCCCACTTTCCCCCCTCTCCTCTGTGCACAACCCTGCATTTGCCTATAATATTCTGCGATCAGCTGTGCTCTGAAGTAACCACCCCCTGCCGACACACAACGCAGATGAATGCTGGAATCGCTAAAAAATACAGTTCCAAGTCAGTTCTCAAATCCTGCATGTATCACAGGGTAAATTAGTTTTGTATTGCCCTGGGCAACTGGATTCCTCCGGGCGGCAATCCTAGCTTGGGCTCCGTGGCACATCCTCAATACCCACCTTCTTTATCACTATAGCATCTCGGCCAGCAGAAAAGGCCAGGCTTTTAACCCAAATATCCCCGCCTGAAAAGCTGTGTTCCCCCACCCGGGATGCCGGGCGGGCCGGGGCACCAGCTGATGCCGCACCTCGGCTGCGGGGCCGCGGCGAGACCGCCGAGCGCTGGGTACCAGCGGGGGATGGACACGGGGCAGCCGAGCCGCGGCTGGTCCGGCCCGACCTTCGGGGCTCCGGCCGGGGCTGCGGGGGATGCCCGGGGCGGGGGCGGCTCCGGGAGCCCCTGAGCAGGGTCCGCAGGGTCCGCAGCCCCTCCCGCCCGGCAGCGCCCGAGGCTCCGGCAGCGCCCGAGGCTGCGGCAGCTCCCCCCGCGACAGGCGCACACACAGATTCTCGTATTTTCGGGTGGTTTTAGGTGAGCAATTTTTATCCGGCTACCGCTGCCCGCACCCCGCGCGACAACGAGACGAACCCGAGCTGGGCAGCGGCAAAGGTGTCCCCAAAACACCGGGGGTCCCGGCCGCCCCCCCGCCCGCCTACCTGTGCCGGTGCTCATGGCGCGCAGGAGGAGCCGCTCCCGCCGCCGCTGCCGCCGCCCGTCCCCGCCTGCCGCGGGCAGCCCCGGCTCAGCCCCGGCTCAGCCCCAGCCCCGCCCGCCGCAGCGGGGCCGCGCCGCGCTCCGCCCCCGCGCCAGGTGCCGGCACCCGCAGTCCCAGCCCGGCTCGGCTCGGCCCGGCTCGGCACGGCGGCACCTTGGGAAGTGTAGGCAGCCCCGCGGACTACATCCCCCTCCGTGCCTTGCTGCGGCCGGGGGCGGCTCCGGCCCCGCCGCTCCTGCGGGCAGAGCTGCGGCGGCACCCCCGCCCCGCAGAAACTTCTCCCCAGCTCTCGGCTGGAGCCGCAGCCCGCTCCCTCCGTCCGGCCTGCCTCGCCCTGCGGCTGAGATCTTCCTCTGCATTTTCCTGTTCCTCTTGTGCTCGGCTCGTATGATGTCCGAGCAAAGCACTGAGGTGCACAGGTGCTCCGGCGTGTCCCCGAAGCGCCCGGGCAGTGACCGTGAGGATGCTTGCGCAGTTCTCAGCGCAGCCCAGGCTGCCAGGCAGCGCTGCACCGCACCGAAGGTGTTGGCGACAAGTCTGGGCATTCAGCAGGGAAAAGCAGTGCTTTCTCGATCAGGTGAACTTTAACTGCTCCTTTGAATTTGGAAGTACAAGGGCACATAATTACTATTAAAGCCATTTGTTTATTAAGTACAGACTTATTCAGTATATAATCAATCTGAAGACCTATTTTATTTATTTATTTCTTTATTGAGAATTAATAGGATTTTGGTTTTTTTTAAAACAAACATCTGTTTTAACAAATACAAAAGCAGCCAGCGTGGTTGCGTAAGCATGCTGTACTGCACAGCTGCTCCGACGCTGATTTCATACGGGGCTCAGGGCAGCTTGGGGTTACAGTAACAGCGTGAGGAAACGGGATGTGAAGACTCGCTTTGCATTAGTATCAGTCTGCTGATTACTCTCTACTCCACTGACAGTCGCCTAAAAGTTATATCTTAATTAACAGTTGTAAGCATAAAACCTACGCAGCCTTCCCAACCTACACCTGAAACTGAAGAGAGATGAGCTCTGTAGCAGTGCTTACATGTCACACTTTGGTAGAGAACCATGGTCCTTGGCCCTGTGTAAGAATAGCAGTACCTTATGTCTCTTATTTCATTTGTCTGATGTGCATGGCCCCTGGACCTCATCACTGCCATCAGGAAGAATGTGGACCTGCAATGCAGGATCAGACAATCCAAACAAGTAACATCTCGTTCCTATAGCCACCATCAGTGGGTATTTGCTGAGGAGATGTCCTGAGCCAGATGTGTGTTCTTTGTTTAGAGCCTTCTGTGGATTTTCTACTGTTGTCTTGTCCAGTTGTAGCTTGTTGTCCAGTGTCCAGCATCCTGTGAAGGGAATTTCACAGCCGAGCTGTCTGGTGTCAAGAACTATCTGCTGTTGTTTTGAGCCTGCTCTTTGCTGGTTTTGCTTGATACCTGCTCATTCTTATAGTAGAAGAGAAAGCATCTATTTCCCATGTTCACTCTCTGTGTCACTTTTGAATTTACACTGCTCTATCAGATTCCACCCTTCACTCCTACTCTAGTTAGTCACTCCTTAAAATGGGTGACTTGTAATTTCAGTACCATGCTGCTATCTGTCACTTTCTGTCATTTGTTCTGGAGTTTTATTGTTTGATTATCAACTTTGGTTTTAATCATGAAGTGTCTTTGCATATAATAATCATCATGAGTTCAAGGCAATCTCTGAGTGATGTTAGTGATACAAGCCCTGTGGCTATGCATAAGTGTTGCATTAAAAGCTAAATTAGACAGAACTCTTGTCTTGAACGTGGTGGGTGTAAAATCCATATTGGAAGTAATGAAGAGGAAACTGCCTTGGGCTTGAAGGCTATTAAAAAACAGTTTGGCCCTACAATTGGGTGGTAGTGCAAGAGAAGAATGCATGCTAAAGTCTTTCATAATTCATTGGAGTGACAGCCCCAGGGCCATAAGAGGTTTGTGGAAGTTTTTCCTACAAGTCATAGGGACAATTTAAAGGTCAAGGTTACTATACAAATGCTCAAATTGCCCACACGATGCCAGATCTTAGGGAACCCTGAGAAACAGACCATGGACTTCCAATTTCCCCTTGTTTAGTGTAATGCCACCTGACATAAGCTTGATTAAAAGCTCCTGTGAACCACTGGAAAAATCTGATAAGATTTTCTGATCTGCTTCTGATAAGATCCCATTACTCTAGCCAATGAACAAGGGAGTAATCAACACTTGAAAGGTCTACTGTCTAAAAAGGATCTTCTCTAAGCTTATCCAGGAAAAGCCCGGCTTCAATCACTTTTGGAGATAGTTCAGTATCACAGATGACACAGATGACACAAGCATTGCTTGGGAAGAGGTCACAGTTCAGTGCATGAGTGGTCTATGGCAAAAAATAGTTGCCAGAGCTTATTCTGAATTCTGTTGGATTTGATGTTATCCTTGCTCTCCAGAAAGACATTGTCTCTTTCTCTGAGAAGTTGACCTTGAAAGGGTTTATAGCAAAAGTGTGGTGAAATTTTGGCTTCATAGTCAAAGTGAAAACATCCAGAAAAAGTTGCCAAGAAGGCTTATACTTAACAATTTAAACTGAGTACCCAGTCTCACAGAGGAGATAGCTCAAATCCTTCAGGACCATGATCCACCCTGAGAATGGGCAGATACACTCTTTGGAGCACTTCCTCTTGATGCAGCCTCTTGTTACCAATCTCAGGCTAGTGAGCAGTCATCTCTTGATTTTTATTTTTGAAAGCAATCAGCTTGTTCAGCTACTGTGAAGAAGGCTGAATTCAGCCTTTGACCTGTCAGCACTTTGCAGCACGTCTGTCAGTACTGGGAATTCAATTGGCACCTGGCAAACCTGAAGATCCTGTTTCTTCCTTCAGGTCTTTAGTGTCATCCTGATTTTTTTTTTTTTTTTTAAGAAGGAGGAGGAGCTTAAAAAATTCTATGCAAAACAAATTTACTTTTTAGCTTAGAAGTGTTTTCTAAAATTTCTCCACTAATATTATTTGGACAGTGCTATGGAAGAACTTTGAATTTTACTGTCCATGTGCATTTAAACTGTATGTCTTTCTTAAGTACATCTTTGTGTCTTGCTCTATTACATTAGCTATATCAGGAAAATAAAATCTTCACTATCTACTGAATTTGTAACCATCCCAGTTATCAGAAATGCATCCTCCTCACATAAGGGAATACATATTTATGTATCTTCCCTCAAGTAAGGGAATATGTTTTCATGTAAAAAAATCAAGAGTGAGCACTGCAAATGTAAAGAAAAATTTGATATAGTGTGTCTTCAATTAAAAAAAGGTCCAGCGGAAGCAAGAACAAAAGGATTATTTCTAATATTTCTGAAGTTTCCAACTTCAGGGTGGTCATGGTCTTCCAGGACAATAAAATTATTTCTTTTATTTGATTATTTGTCTGTAACTTTTTTTGGTCATTGCCATATGAAAGGGGTCATATTTTAAAAACACCTCAATGATGGAGGGTTCAACAAGAGAGAAAGAGAGGAACTAGAACTTCTGCACTAGGAATAAACCAGAACCTTTATGTCTTCAAAAAAAACCCAACAAACTAGACCAACCCAAATAAATAAACAAACAAACCAAAACAACGACAACAAACAAACAAAGTGAAAGAAAAAGTGAAAAAAGCCATTATCCATCCAGTCGCCAGAAGTGTTTTACAAGCTAATCCAGACTATAGAAAACTACAAATCCAAGCAGCTGTTTAACCTGGTGAAATTTTCCCTTGGCATGATGTTCAAAGCTGATGCAGTATCACAAGATTTTCATGTCAAATACCATCTTGGAGTGAAACTTAAAAGAACAGTTAGTTTGTACCAGCTGTGCTATTAGTTGCTTAAACCCTTCTGAATTTGCCCAGAATAGATATCTCATGGAAAAAAAAAACAGAAAAAATCGCATAAATTAGACCTGCTTTTGTAAATCTTACTGTGCAGCTCTGTATTTCATGCCATTAAGTTCTATTGTGTGTCCTGAAAACTGAATTTAAACTCCTAAGAATGTACAGTAATTTTCACTTTTTAACCTGAAATCTACTTTATAGGCTGATTTTCAATCTAAGCTGCTGTTTTTCGACAGCTGTTATATATTTTGGAAGACAAAAGAAAACTTGCAATTTGCAGTAATGTATTTTGAAGTGCTTATGTTTTGAATGACAAATTATCCTTCAATTGCATTCTATAAATTTACAGAAATATGTTATTTTCCTATTAACTCAAGAATAGAAATTCTTTTGTATCACAGAAGATTAAGAACCTGACATGACATGCTGTCATGACCCCTCTTTTGCTTTTTACTGATTCTCTTTTGTGTGAAGAAAGCTCCCTAAATATCTCTGTGTTAAAAACATTTCTACATTTATTTTTCTGGTGTCATATACCTCTTAGGAATTCAGGGCTGGGATACTCTGACTGGGTTACAGTCCTGTAACTAGACTTGAACTTCTGTAATTTTAGGACTAATTCCATATCGAGTGATAAACTTTTTGGCATTAAAATTAGTCTATCACAGAATTCCTGGGACAGTTGCCAAAATAAGCCACCCTTGTGTTTGCAACCAGTGACAGCAGTTACCTCTCCACCACCTTACTCTGTTTGTTGTATTGGAATGACATTGATAGTATATAAAATATAAGGCAAGTCTGAAGTTCCAGCAGAGTAACAACCTGGGATCTTAAAAAGAGATTCTGGGAATGGGAATAAATTGCCAGCTACTCACTGAGCCAGAAGCACACGTGTTTATAAATAATGAATTAGTGTGAAGCAGCCATAATTAAATAATAACATGGCACTATATTAAGATGTCTGAGTTGCACTATCAAGATGTCAGTAATAACTTTTATACAAAGCTCCTCTCACACCACGGGAAGAATATAAACACTGCATCAGCAGCTATAACTTAGACATCCATTACCCATTACAAACCTAAATGCATTATGATCAGTAGGTCAAAT